TGTTTATAAAATCTGTATAAGTTGTAAGTGAATCACATCCTTCTCTACTATTCTTGAATGCTTCATAACTAGGTAAGTTATCACAGTCTTGTTTGATCTTTAAATATTCATCATAATTTGGTAATGGTAATGGTTGAAAGATTTCTCTTTTAGTTCTGTTGGATTTTTTGTCTACACCTTTCGATTTCTCATCATGAACTGTCCAGTCTTCATCTTTCCGTAGCTTCCTCAATGCTTCGATTTCTTTTCTTTCAGCCTCTTCCTGAGCTTTCTTAGTTTTCTCCTGTTTCTTTTTCTCAAGTTCTTCTTCCTTCTTCAGCTTTTCTTGTTTCCTCTTTTCAAAATCAGCTTCATTCTGTTTTTGTCTTTCTTGATCACGTCTTCTAGCATCTTCTTGATCCCGTTTTCTGATATCTTCTTGATCCCGTCTCCTACTATCTTCTTGCTCCCGCTTTCTCTGTTGTTCCTCTTGTTCACGTTTTCTTCTGTCGTCCTCCTGTTGTTGTCTTTGACGTTGAATATCTTGTTGAGAATATGATGGGATTGGAATAGGAATGTGTCTTGGAGAATATTGAGATCTTTCAATTCTTTTTACAGCAAAACCCTCATCACTAATCATTAGGTCTATGTTACAATCATTCACAATCTTCTGTGTTTCAAAATTTAACGCAATTTGGTTCTTATTGTTAACCCAGAGTTTGTTATTGTACATCCCATCAAGTATTCCAATAGAGATAAATTGACATTTCTGATCTCTGTTGACATCCCATGTTATAATTTCATTTTTCTTGATCTCGCAGAAACCGTCTTGATACTTGCAATTGTTCATATCAGCTAAAATATTGGTTGGCTTAGATTGATTAAAATGGGAATAAACTTTCGTCTCAATAACTATACAATTTTCTTTGTGGAATCTTTTAGGTGAGAAGAAGCTTGTAAATCTATTTGGGTAATCAACTTCGATTTTATTATTTGTACTCCATACGTTAGAACTACCTTTTGATAAAGTTCCGTATCCACATTTCTTACTATTAATCATTTCTCTACATTCAGCTAGGGTGATGGGATAGTTGTTCAATTCTTTTTCTACTGTATGTTCATATCCAGAAAAGTCTGTG